TGCCTCGATACACTGGCAATGGAAAGCCTTGCAGAGACAGTCGCGAATGCGATCACGAACGCGATATCTCCTGTTCTCGCAGAGGTGCACGAAATCGTTGGCAACATCACACAAGGAGCGGTAACAGAAATCTCAAGAGTGGTAGAGGAGAAGATAGTTGGGGAGATGAAGGAGATGCTGAAGGAAGAAATCGCACTGATGAAAGAAGTACCAAGGCCGGTGGCTGGGTGGCAGGAGAATCGGCCATCTTACGCAGCCATAACGGCCGAGCCGACAAGCACAGGGGTGGAAAGGGAGCACCAGGCGACGATGGCAAAGGGGGCACTGCAAAGACGACAAATACTGCTAGACGGGATTGAGGGAGTAAAGACAGCCGCGGATGGGTTGACAGAGAGGGAATTGGTAGAAAAGGCGAGCCTGGCACTGGAAGGGATGGGTATTAGGGGGTTGGATAAACCATGGGGAACCAGATTCGTAGCGGCCAAGAAGCTCAGGAATGGGGGGGTGGTGTTTGAAATGGACAGCGAAGCGGCGGCGGAATGGTTGAGGAAGACAGATGTACGGAGAATCTTCGCAGGGAGCTTTGGGGGATCGGCCCAAATCAAGGACAGAAGCTTTCAAGTGGTGGTGCAATACGTACCGACAGAGCTGAGGGACAAAAGCAAGGAGATCATGGAAGCGGCGGAGGACAGTGTAGGATCAGGAAGGGGAACAATAGTAGGGATGAAGTGGATGAAGAACCCGCAGCACTGGAAGGAGGGGCAGAGATACGCCCACCTGATCCTGACAACCACAAATAGGACGACTGCGAACGTGATGATCAGAGAGGGTGTGGTGATAAACAGCCAGAGACTCAGGGTGAAGAAGCTCGAAGCGGACCCACGACGATGCTTCAAGTGCCAATTCATAGGGAGGGGACACACAGCGGAGAACTGCAAGGACACATTGGAGCTCTGTGGAACATGCGCCTCGTCAGCACACACTACGGCAAGATGCCCGGTCAAGGACCCAGCGAGGTTTGTCTGCGTAAATTGCAGACACGAAAAACGAAGATGTGATCATGCGTCTTGGGACAGGATGTGCCCAGTATTCCTGAGGCATAAGGACAACCTGGTAGACCGACAGCCAGATTCAAGATACAAGTACTACCCAGGGGATGAAGAATGGACATGGGTGCGAAATCAGGGAGAGAGTGTGGATCTGGGGTACTGGAGGGGCAACATGCAACATAGGGACTATGAAGAGAGAGGACGCAGAGACAATGGGTGGGGAGGAAGACTAGGGGCTGGCACCATCAGAGATGTGAGGGTACAACAAGCGAAGAAAACACAGAGCATTGCGCCAACGCAAAACACTACGGCAACGTGGAGCAGCCAGCCACCCAGGGCGCCAAGCAGAATGGAGAACTCAGGGCCTAAGCCAGCAGCAAGCGCTACCAGCACCAGCCAAGCGAAGAGACCGGAAAGCCGGAATAGAGGAAGCACCAGGAGCAGAGCATCAAGTCTTAACGGAGGTATGCAAGACGCCCAACAGCCTAAGCTAACCAACTGGTTTAACAGTGCGGAAGCGGAAAGGGAGAGAGCACTAATGGACAGGGCGCTATACGGAGGATCAACACAGTCAACGCAGGCTACTGGAAGGGGACGAGCAAACTCTGAAGGAGGACTACCAAGCAACACCCAACCTAATGTTACACAACGTACCTGAGGGAAATGGAGAGATAACGAAGATACGGATATGGCAGCAGAACGTACGGAAATCACTAGTGGCCACCCTCGCGTTGTTGAACGGGCTGAAGGACGAGTATGACCTGGTATGCATCCAGGAGCCTCACTTTGATTTTAGGGGGATCACGAGGGCGACGGGGGTTTGGACGGTGGTGTACCCATTGAATCATGAGGAAGGACAGGAAGGGGTTACCAGATCGCTAATTCTTATACACTCTAGGTTTTCATCAGGTACATGGACCCAAATCGAGGTGGCAAGCAGGGACGTCACTGCAATACGGCTAGAGGGACCAAGGGGACGGCTAGACATCTACAATATCTACAACGACTGCACACATTCACAGACAATTCAAACTCTCAAGACACACTTCGAACGACGGGGCAGGAGGGCACGAAGAGGGGGAAGGGAGGAAGGAGAGGATAGGGTCACCGGAGGGGACATATGGCTGGGGGACTTTAACAGACATCATCCAATGTGGGACGATGACGCGAACGTAGGGCTGTTCACGAGGGTGAACTTGGACGCAGCGGAGGAGTTGATTGAGCTGGTGGCTAATCATGGGATGGAGATGGTGCTACCAAAGGGTATTCCCACAATCAAAAATGCGCAGGGCAACTACACAAGACCGGACAACGTCTTCTGTAGTGGGGAGATAGAAGAATGGGTAACACAATGCACGACTTCGCCAGGGGAAACGCCTCCGAAAGCTGACCATTTCCCCATCCACATCACCGGTCCATAGATTTCTCAATGGCAAGATCAGAACGACCTCTGGGCTTCAACTATAGGGTGGTGGAATGGGACGTCTTTCTAACGGAACTAATCAAGAACTTGGAACGAATACCAGAGCCACGGCAAATAGACGATGAAGAACAATTTCACAAAGCGTTGCAGGACATCAGCCAGGCAATTTGCGACACCATTGAGAAGGTAGTACCAAGACGCAGGCCATCGCCCCACTCAAAATGCTGGTGGACCAAGGAGCTCGACCTGGCCAGGTCAAGGGCCAAGAGGGCAGGAGAAAAGGCGTACAAGTACAGAAATCACCCAGCGCACCCCAGTCATGAGGAGGCCAGGAGGCAAAGAAACGACTACTCAGAGCTCATCAAGAAGATGAAACGGGACTTCTGGATGGACTGGCTGGAAGGGGTCAATGCAAAGTCGGTATGGGATGCTAATTGCTTCATCTCCATGCCAGGATCGGATGGTGGTAGGACGAAGATCCCGGCGCTGAAGGAGAAGGTAGACAGAAGGGTTATACGGGAGGTGCAGGACAACGAGGAGAAGAGCAGGATGCTACACGCCATATTCTTCAAAGAACTGCCGGCACACGACGAGGGAGAAGAATCGGTTCAGTACCCAGAACCAGCCTTCAAGTTTGAGCCGATACAGGATGAACAGATATACAGGGCCATCAGGAGGTTGAAGCCATACAAAGCACCGGGGACGAGCGACGTCGCGAACATCGTACTTATGAAATGTGCAGACCAGTTGGTGCCCTACCTGGGGCACATCTTCAGGGCAACGTTCAGTCTTCGCGTTTACCCTGACAGTTGGAAGGAATTCACGACGGTTGTCCTCCATAAGCCAGGAAAGACAGATTACACAATCCCTAACGCATACAGGCCTATCGCACTCCTGGACGTCATCGCAAAAGTTCTTTCAAGCTGCGTCAAAGAAGTGCTGGAATACCATACAGAGACACTACAATTGCTACCCCAGTCTCAATTCGGAGGAAGACCTGGGCGATCAGCAACAGATTCCATACACATCCTCGTCAACTTTATCATGAACGCTTGGAGGAGAGGCAGAGTGGTGGCGGCTTTATTCCTCGACGTGAAGAGCGCCTTTCCGAGCACAAACGTAACGAAGCTGGTGCACAATATGAGGATGAGGGGAATCCCAAAGGAATACACTGACTGGATCTTACGCAAGATGACAGGAAGGACGACGATCATCAGCTTCGATGATTTCAAGTCTGAACCCAGTACTTCGTCATGCCCCACTGATTCCTGCAGGAATGAAGGCATTCCACCGGATTCCAGTGGAATCCACAGGAATGGCACAGGAATCCACAGGAATGGCACAGGAATCCACAGGAATGGCACAGGAATCCACAAGAATGGACAGGAATGGCACAGGAATGTCACAGGAAGGCCTAAAATGTATATTTCACAACTTAATCCTAAGAATTCCTTATGATATTTAGACTTGAATAGGGAAAATCAAAGTGTATTTGATAGAACTACACAAAAAATGATGTATTTCAATTATAATACAAAATATATTTAATTACATGCAGTGTATACTAGAGAGGGAGGGGATGGGCAAGGGAAAAGGGAAGGGGGATGGAAA